AGATTTACAGAGTTGTTTATTTTGGCGGTTTATATACCTGTACACGTTCATTAGATCCATATTGTCACATGATTAGCTGGTGGCGAGTTATCATTGGACTATGTAAGCGATTTTGCCCGTGGGTACTTTAGTTTATTAGGATATATAAGAGTATATACCTGTCTTTCTATCCATTCAGTGTCCACAATTTTGCATGTACATCTAAATTGATGAACGCATTTAAATACAACAATTGACGCATATTCATCTGTTTTATATGTTAGTGAGCCTGATATTTTCTAAATTGGTATAAACTTCACAGCAAAGATTGTGCTTGTTATAGCCACTTTTAGTCTTCGAGTGATTTTATTCATTATTCGGTCATCTTTAAATGATATTTGAATACAAAATGTTCTTTTTTAGACTTGCATTCTTCCGTACTCAACCATTAATCACTCCAATATTTGTTGATAATTGATTCGGAGTAACCATTCTCCCAAAGATTTACTCATAACAGTATGCTCTTAGGGCTCTATTTAATGATAATAAAGCTAAGAATATATTTCAGGAAGAACTAGAAAGACAGTTATGCGACCATTTAGTAAGTGATTCTCACCCTGAAGCAGCTTGAAATGATATCGAAAAGGCTATGGGAAACAACAGCGATATCTGCTAGTAAGATATCGCAGCGATATCGCTAGTAAGGCTAGGAATAAGCCGTGTCATATGGAACAATATTATTTGATTCATTACTTTGCAAATCTGAAAGTGTCCTAAACATAATATATGGTGATGTAAAATATCGCGACAGATTATCAGTCAAATTTCCCGAATATATTCAAGCTGGTCCTTATCCATGTTATTGCTTAAAATTCCTTACATCTATCAGTCTATCAACTTCATTAGAACATTTCGTCTTATTCACTCACTGGTAAAATAACGAAACTTTACTATGTACTAGTACATTCAGTCGACAAATCAACTACTCCATCAATTATTTTTAAAAAGCGAGAATATTGAAAGTCACCAATCCGTTAAATGTCATTTAATTATAAAAGTTTTCTTTTAAACGAACATTTACTATGGAACATATTGGTTTCTGTAAGGAATAGATTCTAACAAGATTACGAAACATCAGAAATCCATTTTTTATTATTTGCCATTTCCAAAACACCATCATTTCTATTATACGTAAAGTAACTTGTGTTTATGTATCTTATAGTGGCAAATAATTTTTTAAGCTTTACTGGATGGTCAGTTACCACCACTAGATCACACTACAACCTGCTGTGAAACGTTTCTCCTGTTGTAACTGCCTAATTTATAAGTCTCACATTAATATACCTCTGTATGCAACCAAATATACGGTTCTCCTCAACCATTATTAATCGATTCTTTGTTTCTCTTTAAGCCGTTTTGTTAGAAGACACTTCATTATCAGTATTGTGAGATTCTTGTCTGATCCAGAGTACATTGAAATCATAAATTACTAAATTCATTGTTAGTATACATAATCATAAATGTTCAAAGATATTATTATTTAACGAAAAGTATAACTTTTAGTGTATACAGTATATTAATGAAAACTATGTTAAATCTGAACTATACAAATGCTTGAATTAAGATTCTATCCAACTCACAAAAGAACCTTTTATGTCTGGCTCATAATTACACATTATATATACTCATACTGCAAATATTTTTTTAAATATATTTAAAACAATTAGTCCCTTTTATAAATTTTGATAGAACAGTGAGAAGACGTAATTGATCTGAAAAATGTGATGTATTTGCGCTATACATTTCGAACAATCTGGTCACACATATTTACTTGTCAAGGCATTTTATATGAAGATGAATAAAAGGTCAATTGAATAAAAGTTCAAATAGACATAGGGTGACAATTGACCTTTTATTCATCTTCATATAAAATGCCTTGACAAGTAAATATGTGTGACCAGATTGTTCGAAATGTATAGCGCAAATACATCACATTTTTCAGATCAATTACGTCTTCTCACTGTTCTATCAAAATATATTTAAGTTTGAAATTATATCAATTATTAGAATAATTCATGTTACATTCCATCACATCAACTTACTGATAAAGAAAAATCATTAGAGTAGAGAATTAAATTTCTCTTTATTCATTTCTGGCTTTTGTCTAGTTTGCGTATTGAAATAGGTAGGTGATGATGTCGAATAAAAATGTATTCGTATATAAAATTAGCGAATAATTAGAAATATAATCAAGCATTTATTTACTACGTGACATTAACATCTATTTTTACAAGTAAACAATTTGTATTTAGAATTGAAATCATGACATGAATTTCATGACAGTTTCACATTTTACATATTCAACTAGGCTTTGGTTTCCAAAACACAATGTTTATTTCTATAATGTTCATTATATTGTGATCAATAATAAAGTAATTAACATCGTCAAGAGTTTAGAAATGTAAAATTTACAAAGTGATGTAGCGATAATCAAGTAATTGTTTTCAAACGCTTCAGTGATATCCACATTCTCACTAAACAGAATAGTTAGTTTGCTCGTGATAAAAATGATGATGACTTTGTTACCCACTGTATTGTATACTACGACTAAATGGGTGACCGAGGTCATATTACCATTGGAATGAATACTCGAACAGTACAACAGAGACTAGTTAACATGAAACCAGATATACGATTCAGGACCGAAATAGAGAATTAGAATAAGTGATCTACTATATTTTATTCCACACAAGCAGTCACATAGATTGAGTAAAGAGAAGAGATCAAAAAGAGGAAATGAAGACTCACAATTTACAGTCAGTAGGATGTGCTTTTTTGTCAGCGCTCAACATACAATCACATTTTCGCTTCACTACAATACATCAAAGTCAGTCAGTTACGACGGAGAATTTAGTACGTACGTACATCAGTTCAGGTTGCCATACCACAGTGACATAGAAATCGCATTGTCGAATCCAATCCTACATTAGTAAAGGTAGTAGAAGTATTAGCAGTAATCAAAAGGATTAATGATCGAATATAACATTCCAGATGTATAACCAAAAAGGATCAATCAAAAAAAAGTGAAAAAACGGTCGTGAGGAATTCAGAAGATTAGGATTAGAGAAAACTCAAAGAGATGCACTTACGCCATCGCAAACGATTTTCAGCCATGTCGTTCAGGTCTCTAACCATCGGTTACTATCATCACATTACGCGCTCAAACCAGGTTGTCTACACCAGCCAACATGACTTAATCCACCTGTTAATGACTTCATGGATTTGTGCAATGTTTGGGTCTGAACGACCATAGCTTTTTTCCAGCCTACTCCTACACCGTAAAACATACCTCGAGGCAGTCGATGGTTGGGCATTCGGAACACATGTCCTAACTACATCAACTGACGAAGTTCCAACACTTCATCTATTGATCTGTCATCATTAATTATTACCCGTTTTCGAAAAACAGCATTGCTTACTCGTTTATCCCAGGATAAACGAACAATGCTTCACACCTATGACCGAAAACCAGCAACACACAAATATCTTCAATTCTGACTGGCCGTGTTTCACATTCATATAGTAGGACGGAGCGAACTACTTCGAAGTACACTCATCCTTTGGTTAGCAGACGGATATCCCAAAGAGGCTATAAGTAACGCAAGTTGGAAAAAGCTAATTGAGCCTTCTGTATCCGTACTGAGATTTCGTCAGTCACCATGACATTAGCACTAATGACACACCCTAGAAAAGTGAAGCGGTCTACACGCTCAACTGCTTCACTCCTTATCACTTGTTCAGGTGCCGATGCAACCCAATCCTGAAGCAACACTTTGCAGCATAACGGCATATGCTGGTTGTCCGAGGAAAACACCTTACTACTGTCACACCCCTCTACAGTCAGTAGTACGACTTCACTCTCAAACATTGAGTTGCTGCTTTTAGTCTCACCGTTCTCCAATCGACCTGCATGGCATCGCAAAACCTACAGGAACATATGTTCCAGGCAATATAGCACAGTTGGGTCATCACGATGGGCAGGCGCGATCACGACGTCAAGTTAGCAGCTACGGTTGGGAAATCAAACAATCGCCATTTCAAAATCTTATTATACGTTAAGCACCTTTAGTGTGATACTGATAGTGTTTCGGATGCTAAATACAGTTCATTATGAAAAAAATGTTTGTTTCTACAGAAATTTTATTGATTGTTATTTAAACAATATCAACAATAGATTATATATTGGACTTTTCAGATAAATTGGTTCCTCTTAATACATTCTAACCATAAAAAAGGACTAACCAAAATTCTTAATTAGTTTAATGTGCATATATCAAGTAAAAATAAAAAGAATGACAAGTTCAAAGAGAATTCTTTTATTATTATTATAAAATAGTTTTAAAGACTAGAAATGAACTACATCCTAGGAAAAAAACAGTTAAGTTATAAAGTTCATTTGATAACACAAATCTGAGCTGAAACCGAACTAACAATATTCATTGTTATGAAGTGAGAATTCGATTATTCAATCATTTGCACTTAAAAATTAATTTGAATCACAATAACGATTGGAATGGTAGATAATCAATGCAGAATTTATCATTTGCCAAGTAATGCTTTCACAGCACAAACAATCGCATTTGCATCTACACCATATTTGGCTAGTAGTTCTTCTGGTTTCCCGGAACGTGGCACTTCTCTGATAGCTAATCTCTTAACAGTATGTTCTATACCACATTTTGAGAGAGCTGCGCTAACTGCATCTCCTATACCACCTGTAAATACACATTAAAAAGAAAAAGGAACATATGTCAATGAATAATAGTCAGCTAAATCGTTAAAAAACAGAAAAAGCATATCTATTTCAACGAGGAATATTTCCATGAGGAATGAATCAAATTTAACTGTTAGTGATTTTGTTTACTGAATAGAAATATGAAAAGTAATGATGAATAATTTTCCTGGTGCTATGATTCAAGATTATGCCAAGAAAAGTAGGATAACAATAATGTGTAAATTTGAACTGAAAGGAAAACTACGAGAAATTAAAATATGAAAGGTCTAGGAGAAAGACTCTTTAGTTGAAGATTAGTTGCTTGTGCCTTCATACGTGAATAATGCTTCCGAAAATACGAAAAAAGCAAGATATTTTATATTATACTAACTTTTAACATTATTTGACAATGACACGAAGTTTAAAAAAAACTCAAACTTCTGCTTTAAAGCTTTTAGGATGACTGTAATGCATAGTCAAAGCGCTTTGAATCGTAGAGCTAGATTTATGAAGCATTCACAGATCAGAAAATAATGTACTCTCAATAGATTTTACACCCACAAATATCTAAGTTTGATAAATATGAATGGAGCTAATCTAGGAAAAGTTTAAAAGCCAAGAGGTACAAATTTCTTTTTGAGGAAATAACTTTGTGACATTGTTAAAAAAGGACTTTCATGGTTAAGAAATGTCTACAACATCAAATACTAACATTGCCTCAGTAGAAAGATTTATGAGATACCGAACATCACGGTCTAAGTAGTCTTATAAATACACTACCTCTCTAAAATGTCCTGCTATGGTCGAGAGTCGGAAGAGTTCACTCTATTTCTCCAAATGCTCTCACATGGTCAGATGTATATAGCTACTGGTATTGAAGTCCTACTCACTAGTTGCTCGCGTGGGTATCTTTTACAAAACTCAGAGGACGAAGAGCGACTGTTTGGCGCTTAGCCCTGGTTGGTGGGTGAGCAGGATCCACCTAGAGAAGTTGGAAAACGCTAACCCCAAATCGATGGTGCACGTAGATCAAAGGGTCCTGATGGGATAAGAATCTATTGTCGGGCACCAGTTACTATGGTACGGCATGTCTCAGCTTCGTGTCACTGCCTTGAGGTTTATACTTGCAGCTCAAAGACTAGGAGAGAGGCACTCGAGAAAAACACTTCAACCGACCTCGGCAGTATTACGCCCTCACACAAACTGAGTGATCGCTACAGCTGAGAAAACTATACATATTATGATTCTCATTCTCGTTAATCGTACTCAAAATTACTTGTCCATATTCCTTTATTCTTCAATTCACACGGCAGCAATTCTAGGGTGGAAATCTTGTTCTATCTCAACGATCTCAAGTCACTGACTAGTCACAGCTTGAATGTTACCACCGAGTAAGAATTCTGAGCCGAACTTTCTGAAACGTTGAATACCATTCAAACTGGCCTCCTTCAACATTCGCACACTAGTGCAGTTCGGATAAATTTTTTCTTCATCTGTTGCTTCGAAATCCTTGTTCCGCGTGCCTTTATCCCGTGGCATCGTCACCGGTTCTTGCTGGCGTTGGTATCGCACTTAGTGTTAGATATGAGGAAGCGTTAATCTATTAGGCCACCATTAACAGTTGATTTTGTCCTGTAAGTTAGATAGTCCTATCGATGTGAGGAATGACGTGTTCTTGTTATCTCCGCCTATGCCCTGACACATTACTGCTCGAATGAAACCAAGAGTGAGTTCTAAACGCAGTTGAATGATCTCCAGAATGTGTTCGACAGACATTACAGTGCTAGTTAGAGAATCGGATGAGCAGGTCTGGGCACACAATAGTCGCTTGGACGGTCGATGGGAAATTGTTGATCGCGGATCAGATAACGGTGACCGACTACAGACACTTTACACAGACTACAACCTGTTTCTGGCTAGCAGTAACCATCAACGCAGTTGTCGCACGTTTACCACTCGGCATTCTCTATTCCCATCGCAGGCCTGGACTCGGACTGAACATATCACGATCAGCTCCCGCCGGCGCGGTTTTGTACAAGACTGCTGCTTCTTTTGCAGTAGCTATCTGGACTCTGAATGTGTTGTTGTTCGCGCTAGACATATCGTACGTTTTAGTGACCAACAAATTCATCGTCCTAAACTGACCGACATCAGTGAATTGGTTACAGCTTTCGCTCCAACATAATATCAAACGGAGCTGGTTCAAAGTTAGCCATTGACCCACCGAAAGGTATAGGTAAGCAGACTGCAACTGCACGATGCTATGAAAAAGGAGAGTAAATTCGCATATGGCATGGAGAAAAGTTCCGCTCATAAGCACTGAATTCCACGGGCTCCTTACAACTCTTTGAGACACATCGGTTAACTCCCAGTAACAATGAGTTTGGCTAAAAGATGATCGTTACGTAATCAACGAGTGGAAAAATTCAGTATCAGCAAAGCTGGTGGTCGGATCGTGCTAACTAGTTGGGAGTAGCATCTGAATTAGGTGACTACCGGAAGATTTTTTGTTATACCTAACTTCTCTTCACAAGTTTTATTGTGTTTCACATGATGTTTTGGTGTTTGCATGTACCAATATTTGAGTTTTAAAATAATAAACAGATCGACTGGATCAATGAGTTGGTTGAGAAAAAGCAGATTTTATGTAATCTTAAGAAAGAGGAAACTGTTAAATGTTCGAATTACATTGAGTAAATGAATAAAAATAATGTAATATATTGTTTTCAAAAACGAGGTTAAGACTAACCACGGTAAAACTATTCGGAAGGTATTATCTTTGGAAGGAAAATAAATCTCCTGATAAAATTTAATTGATGAATGAGGCATTTAATAAACAAATTTATGCAGACAGAACAACACAAAATTCAAGATAGATAAACATTTCTATGAACATTATCTGTGAAAATAGTAATATCATAACTACATAAGTGACATAATAACCTAACAGATCTATGTAAAAGCATATTGTTAACAAAAATTTTAACATGCTTTAATTTAATCGTCACATAATAACTGGAGCACTACTTACCTTCAGGTGCATGATCCTCTACAGTCAGTATTTTGTTGCATGTTTCGTTTACAGATTTCGCAAGTAATGCTTCATCTATTGGTTTAATAGTGAATGGATCAATGACACGAATATTAATATTTTCAGCCGCAAGAATATCGGCCGCTTTCAATGCTTCAGTTATTGTAATGCCACCACCAACTACAGTTAAATGGTCACTGGTAGAGCCTGCTGTGCGGACAACCTAGTAAAGTGAGTGGCAGGAAGAAACAATCGTAAACTACTTACAAATACTGGGTATTTATCTGTTTCTTGATAGAGAGAAAAACATTTAAAAAGATTGAAAGATTACGTTCAATTACGTGAGCTAGATTATGATATTATCATAGTTCCTGGTTTCATGGAAATTAAATTCAACAGACAAACTGATGATGAAATTTATAACAAATGTAATGTTTTTAAACTTGTAGAGGAATACATTTATGTATATGAATAGTTTTGCGAATATTTCCACTTTTCAAGGTATGTTAGCTGCACGGGTTTTAACAGCCAATCAAGATTGAGGTTAACAAAGCAAGCTACGACTCATACGTGGAGAAATTCGAATACTTCACTTCTATCTGAAGCTTGTGTTGATTTTGTTGTTCAGACGAACAACGAAAGCTCCACAACCAAAACAACCAGCTCATAGAACAAACGAAACTCCACCACAAGGGATTTTAGTGTTCAATCAATAAAATAAATCAACAGTAAAGTAGAACTTCGTACGTACGTACGTACATGTTAGGATATTCATCTAATACCCTAAGAGAATTATTTGTAAGTCTAATTATATTGGTCGTCCTAACTATCAATGTTACTTCAAATGTTGTTTCCAAATAATCGTCCTAACTGTCAATGTCACATACTTTAATGTTGTTTCCTATTCCACCTAACTGTATAAATATCCATTATCTGTAACGTTTTATGTTACGGATCCTTAGTCTTTTCTGGACTCAGACCACGTACTTTCTGGATGTTTGTAGAATACACGTTCTACTTCATATCAAGTCTTCTTTTACTCAATGGCGGTTTGGGACGCTCGGATTAGATTGCTGTTGCCAAATCATCAATCCTCGCTCTCGTTTTCGGACAAAGGTAAAGTCGTAATAGTTCAAGCATATCAAATGACGTGTTGACGCGAATGCATAACAGTACATCAGTTCCAGTTACCATACCACATGAGCACACAGATGTAATTGTCAATTCCAATCCCATAGTTGTAGAGGTATTATTAGCAGTAATCGGAGAGATTAGGGTTAAAAGGTATTATTCAAGAACTAGAATCTAGTGAAATAAACTTAAAAAGAAAAAGTTTGCGATTTGAGAGAACACAATTAATGAATGCACCTGAGCAATTGCAGACGGTTTTGAGTCATGTCATTCTCGGTCTCTAACCATCGGTTACTATCATCTCGCTGGCCTCAACCAGGTAGTCTACATATACCAACATGACTCAATCCACTTGTCAGTGACTTCATGGATTTGTGCCATATTTTGGTCTGGCTGCCTCTGGCTTTCTTCCAAACTATTCCTGCACCGTAAAATATAGCTCGACGAGGCAGTTGGTGATTAGTCATACTGTTAGGTTCGTCACTAAGTATGCTTGAAACTATTACGGATTCACCTCAGTTGGTAAACGCGGACGAGACAATGAACCAGCGTCCAGGTAGGCTACCTTGATCCAAAACGGCCAAAGAAAAGTCTTGGTATAGCATAGAAAATATATTCTACAAACACCCAGCAAGCACAATGCAATTAAGCACACAAATCTCCTCTATTTATACATCACAGAAATGTCCTTGGGATAATCACAAAAAAAGCACACTAAAATACACAGGAGCCAATCACAGCCACGGATTTTCCTGGTGGGAAATGAAACCTCAAGGTCGATTGATCAGCCCATGCTGGCAAACGTGAAATCCAAAATAAAGCATTTTCAAGCGAATTCTGGGGGATCAAACGTCTCCAACACATACGTAACACATGTCCCAACCAAATCAACTGACGAAGTTTGAATACTTCATCTCACACGAGACCAAAGTGGTCAAAATCATCTACTGACCCGAAAACCTTAACTAATACCCGTAACCTAAACACAGCATTGCTTACTCGGTTATTTCAGGATACACGAACAATGCTTCGGAGACACCTTTGATCGAAAACCAGCAACCTACGAATATCTTCTACTCTGACTGGCCATGTTTCGCAGATATAAAGCAGGACGGAGCGAACTACTGAGCAGTTCACTCGTCCTTCAGTCAGCAAACGGATATCTCATCTAAGCCATAAGTCACGCAGGCTGGTAAAAGCCAATCGAGCCTTTTGCTTCCATGCTGAGATCACATCAGTCACCTGGCCATCAGCATTGATGAGACTCCCCAGATAAGTGAAGCGGTCTACACGCTCGACTACTTTACTCCCTATCACTAGTTTAGGTACCGATGCAACCCAATCCTGAAGCAACATTTTGCAATTCGATGGGGGGAATCGCATCCCGAACATGCTAGCATTGTTGCTTCGAGTGATCAGAAGAATGCATTTTATCAGCGTCTTCATCAACCAGAACTATGTCATCGGCATATTCTACGTCGAACAGTGAATCTCCTGGTAGAAGGTCCACTCGTGAAAAGTCAGACGGAGATAATATTACATCCAGAAGCAGGTCTATGACAAAATTAAACAAGAATGGGGAAAGTGGATGTAACTGACGGACATCACTTGAAGTAACCAATTTCGATGACAGTTCACCATAAGCTCTCACTCGACCAGTAGTGTTCGAGTAGGGAGCTTTCATAAGGTTTATGTACTTCTCTGCTTTACGCTTCAATGACAGACACTGTCACAGAACCTCTCAATCAACAGAGTCAAATGCCGTCTTAAGGTCCAGGAAAACAACTTTTGTCGGACGTCTAAATGTGTGTTTGTGTTCCAGGACCTGTCGTAGTGTGAAAATGTGGTCTATACAACCAGGTCCAGGTCTGAAACCAGACTAGTTTCCTCGTGTCTGCTCTTCACGAGCTATAGTTAGGCGTCTAAGTATAATCCAGGCTAACAATTTAGAAATTATATTAGTTAGACTGATTCCCCTGTGATTGTCACAAGAAGACTTTTGTCCTTTCTTACAAATTGGCACAATCAGAGATTGAAACCAGTCAGATGGGATTGCGTCCAGTTCCCAGATTCTAACTACGATCTCAGCCAATCTAGCTGCTAAAACTGGACTAACATCCTTAAATATCTCAGGGGTCAATCTGTCAGGGCCTGCAGCTCGCCCTCGCTTCAGATTTCCGAACGGAGGACTTACGTCAGCTAGCCATTCAAGATGACTGGAGATCGTGGGCGACCGAAGTGTGGCTGAAGTGATCCCTAAAGTGTTCTGCATTTCGATCCAATCTCCTGAATTGAGAATTAAAAACACAACCATCCTTTTCTGAGATAGCCTCACTTACAGTAGGATTCCTAGTACCGGTTTCCTTGAAGAGTCTGAATAGTTGTCTACTGCTGCCTATCGTCGCTGCCCTTCGCATTTCCCTTGCTTTCGCTACCTATCACTATTTGCGACCATTGCGTAGGCGTTTTATCAGCCGGCGCCTAAGCTGACTCCGCTCCTCATCGCACTCAGAGCCAAGAGGGATGAGTTTTCGAGCATCCATCAGTTCCGTAGATGCTACTGAGAACCACGGCTCCTTCCTGGACTTATGGTTTACCTTGCTAGCAGATATCACTGCCGTTTCCATACCATTTTTTGGTATCATTCCAACCTGCCTCTGGATGGGAATCACCTACATGGTCGCCTAACTGTTTTCCTGGTTGTTCCTGAAATATATTCATAGCTTTACTATCATTAAGTAGAACCCTAAGAGGTTTCTTTGCGATGTCTTCCCTACGTCCAGTAAGCCGCAAACAAATACGCGCCCGCACTAAGGCATGATCTGAATCTAAACATGTGCCCCAGAACGAGCGGCAGTCTTCTATCGAACCCCTACATCGGTGGCTGATGGCAATGTGATCTAGTTGGGTCCAACGTTGAGACGACTTTGGAGGTCGCCAGGTCAACAGATGCTTTTCCTTGTGCCTAAAGTTAGTGTTTGCTAAGAATAGGCGGTTATCTGAGCATAGTTGCAACAGACGGTCGCCATTGTCTGTTCTCTGAGCCGCGACACCATAACATCCACAAAGGTGTCTTTGATTTTCACTTAGTCTACCTACTTGAGCATTAAAGTTACCAGCCATTATTACTACACCAGAGCGCTTAACTTTTTGGAGGAGGTTAGAAAGCTTTCTGTCTCGTGTGATCTATGGATATGAGGGCGGATTTCACTTCCCGGCTGCCCACACCGTGAAAGGTTTTTTCTTGAGAAACCTGAAAAGGAAGGTAGATTAGTGTCGGTTTTAACGACCTGAGAGCGTGACCGCAGAGCCCAAGAGACAACTGCTTCAGGCCAGTCACGCACGGCCTTTTTATGAAAGGTATTTTGAGTATTAGCTGCGCTCTTAAAAGCCCTAAGTGGGCACCCTTACCGCCGGGGACGGAAATCCGTGAGGTGGGGTCAGGTGTTACATTTTTAGGGTCGACCTATTCTAACCCTTCCTTCCTTGTGAGAAGGCAGCATCGCTGCAGATGCTGGTTGTCCGAAGATGCAAGATTCGAAAACACCAAATATATGTTAATTGGTCACTTACTTTTCCTTTACCAATGCAAAAGCATTCTTCGGGAGAATAAATTACAGGTTGATTAGGGCGTCCAGTTCGTATATAACAGATCCCTACAGTGTTGGCTGCCAGTTCAACAGCGCGTTCTGTTGACACAGCATCCGACGGATAAAATACTGTTGAGCCAATAACAGAACGAAACATAGCCAGATCTTCTAAAGCCATTTGACTTGGCCCATCTTCGCCTGATTGAGAAAAAAAATTTATAAATAGTTAAGGCAGTTTTAAAAAGGTGATAACCTTCATTCGTCAAAAATAACTGCTACAAACTATAACATACTCTGTATCCAAAAATAATATCCGAGATAAGCTTTGAACGTTATGTATTGACGGTATTGGATTAGTTAAATAACACAAACTGAGTTTGAAAACCTTTGTTTATCAAAGTGTGTAACTTGATTCCAGCCATTATTTAGCTCAAGAGTATTAAATTCTCACATCTGATTTTCAGTTATATCAATAAAAATAATCTTGTTGTAATGGTTAGTCAGTTATAAGTAACGCAGAATCTGTCATATATATGGATGGAGCGGGACAGAAGTGCCAAACAAATAGATTAGTGACATTATGAATAGATAAAGGAGGGAGGAGAAATACATGCAGAAAACAAGAAAGGCAGGCTATGAAAAAAACGTCACTTAACAATACAACCAAGGATTCCCTTCAGTTTGATAGGATTATTTCGGCTTTATATTAAATGTCAGAAAACTACAGCATGACAGCCACTAGCTTCAATTTTAACCACATATGACATTCCAAGCCAGTGATTTGTATTACGTTCAGAAGCTTAACTAAGTCATGATGAGCCGACAGTTTTCAGCCTTGTACATCAGTCTTTTATGTCACAGTACTTTCATAAACCAACTACCTCTGAGTTTCCAATCAGTAAATAATGTGTGGTGTGGAAGTCGCTGGAATGACATTCGTAAAACATGACCAAGTCACCAAAGTCGGTGACTTAAGACAATGAAACTAAGTGGATGATCATAACTAGGCACGAACTCCATTTGCATCGCTTTGGCATTACTAACATCAAGTTGCCACCGATTATGAGCGATCTTTTGGATATAACGATGCTTAAACAAAGTAGCCGAATATCTTCAGCCTGGAGGAGCTATAGAACATAGGCATATTGTGAAATAACTATCACTGACCCAGCCTCTGAGTCAGACTGGCATAAGCCACCCTGGCTTCCACGTATGCAGAGTGATTTTATCTGACACTACTAAATAGTCCAGGGTGAAAACAGTACTCTACCTCTCGAATTGCCTTTATACGGTCACATACTTATAGTTTCTCAACATAGAATTCTGCTCAGTACCTTCACGTGATAAGGGTAATTATACGGAAGCGCGATCGAAAGCGAATATTATATGCTTTAACCTGGTCGGTAGAGGCGAACGCTCCGAAAAAACTAATTTACAGGGCACTTGGGTGTGAGTCATACTTTGAGTGTCAGGGGTAATTAATACGACCCTGTTGCGTAGACCGAAACAAGCGGAGCGGGAAATTGAATGCTTTGACCCTTAAGCAAGCACGGAAGCACAACTGAAGGGAGTTGGAGAATCTTGAATCTACACCAACGATGGACATGGGCTTGAAGACACTGGGACGGAGTAGCGAGAACCCATTTTTGTAACCCGGGGCCATGAAACTGTATCTGTTGATGCTTCTTATAGATCAGACACAGAGATTAATAGCATGAGCGCTACTCCAAAAAACTACTTTCTTCAGTCTAGGTAACCGAGAAGTATCACAACCCACATAAATACATAATTATGAAGCAAGTAAAAGGTAGAGATAATATTAGACAAACTTTATAACCCCACTATTGAACCATTTTATGCAGTGAACTCACCAATGCTAACTCCAACATGTGATCCTGCAAAATTACAGTTAGTTTGAGAAATTGCACCCATGCGTATTTGGTCGAAAGCCCGAGTGAGAAAGGCGGCAAAAGTACTAACAAATGGAATTGTTCGTCCACGTGCAGCACAACCAATAGCTACACCAACTAAGTTTTGCTCTGCGATGAAACACTCGACAAACTGATCTGGTTTAGTATCTCTAAGTTTAATACTAAAAGTTGAATTCTTAGTATCACCATCGAGACCAATAACTCGGTCACAAGTTTGGGCAATACGAGAGAGAGCTGTGCCATAAGCGAGTCGGGTAGCAACCTATTAGTGGGTAAAAATAAAGAGGATAAATAGAAAGAAATACGACAATTTTCTGTTGTGAATTGATCAGTGTAGTAGTAGTAAACACACAAAAATAACTACTACTATATGTATGTACATACATATATAAGCATTTCAATAAATTACCATATCTCCGATCTTATATTGTGGGGCGGACGGCAGCTTGATAGTACCCATTAATTTTAGTTCGCTGCAATCATTTCGTGGTTTTAATGGTAGGGGAAAACTCTGAACTGAACTATCACTTAATTGGGATTTGAGGTAATCCAGAACTTCCTTCGCCTTACTTCCAAGAGGTTTACCATGCCAGTTTTCTTGATCAGCTATACCAGGGAAATCTTGGCCTTTGAATGTTTTACAAATTAGAGCAACAGGTTTATTTTTGATCGTACGAGCAGATGAAAATGCTTTAAGTAACTCTCCAATGTTATGACCATCCACCACTATAGAATGACATCTGAAGTGATCGTTAAAAAATAATTCACTGTCAGTAACAATAAAAGCTAAAAGTATAAAAATGATAATAAAGTTGATCCACCTTGGTACAAAACTTAGTACAACCCAACACTGGTACAAAAACCGCACAAAATAAATTTAGCCAGTAGTGGGTAATTCAGTAACTATATTTACTGTTGATCGAAATTTATTGGTGAGAATATGTTAAAAGATCAGAAAGCAGTATGGCTGACCAATACAATAGCGTTACTTCTTGGCGAAAAGAGATGTAGTAGTAAAACATGAAGTTACTTGCATATGAGAAATCGAGAGCAGAAACACCTATCTTCGTTAATGCATTAAAAAAGACTTGATGATTACTCATTGCTAGGTTAAAATAAGTGTTTAGAAATAACTCACTAAGTTACTTCAGTTTCAGCTGTGGCTTTCCAACTGTCGAATCGCAGCTTTGAACCCTGTTTAACTTTTATTTGGAAGACTGAATAAAATTGTCATTTTTTATAATGAGAAATATATTCGTTTTATGTGGTCGTCTGATGGCTAAAGCATTCAACTTTCAGTCATCAAGTTCCAAACTTGAATCCCACCTCACTAATTTAAGTTTAGGCAACTAGTTACTATAATTATCTACCACACTTAGAATACAGTTCGTACCCGAGTACCTGGCGAATGAGTTAACCTAAAAATATTTATCTCAAAAATAGCTTGGACAATACTAAAAACGTTTCAACTCAAGCTTACATTAAAAAATTCTGTCCCCAACCGTGGCCTCCACATACATTTGTTGTATTGTTTGTAATGTTCGTCTGAAATGTATTTACTGTAGTATGGTTTACGGTAACTGGAAAAGTTCAGTCGAAAATGGTCATATTTTTACGGCAAATTGAGTTAATTTATATTTAGAGGAACAAAAGAGCACTGCTCCTTCAATTAACCAATCAATGGCTCCTTAATTTTACGTTAAATACAGTCAGTCAGTTGCAACGTAGATTGTGTTTTGTACATACATCAGGTTAAGTCGTCGTACCACATTAGTAGAGAGATGGAATTATCAGTTCAAATCCCATAGTAGTAGAGGTTGTAGAAGTATTAGCGGTAATCGAAAAGATTGGGAATTGTAGATATGATTCAAGAAGTATACATTGGTGGAAAAAATTTTAAGAGAGGAGGATATCATGGAGAAATTAGAATAATTGAATTCGGGGTAAGCAAAGAATGGATGCATCAGCGCCAAAACAAACGATTTTGAGTAATGTCCAAAGTCTCTGACTATTGGTTAGGACTGTCTCGCAGGCCCAAACCCGGTGCTGTATACCTATTAACATGGCTCAGTCTAATGATACATTCTCTCTGCTTTAGCTAAATGGCATACATAAGTCCCTCCTATAAGGAGTTCGGAAGCAATATATTACGGGGTACAGTATCACAAAAACCTTTTCATTTCACCTAAAGTCTGAATATAATTTTTGTGCAGTAGTGATGTTCGAGACATTGATTATCTTTGTTTACACAGTATGATTAACCTCTCCTTATACGTGGTGTGAGGATTCTAGCAACCTGAAATTAATTAATCAAAGCTAGAATGGCTTTTCGTTACAAATTGCTTTGCTAAAGAAATAATGAATACGTCTGAAATTAATTCAAGAGTAACAACTTATAACTAAGAGTTAATACTCCAAAAATGTATTACTTTACATGAATCGATAAACAAACTAAGACATTAAGATGTGAAAGCATTCGTCGAATATGTGGTTAGTGACTGGATGTCATGGAGCAATAACATGGGCACAAAAGCAGCTGGTGTAACTCAAGGTTGTCTAAATAAGTCTATCTGATTTGTCTATAGGTGAATACATTATCAAATCATGTAAGATGAGATAACTGGGTTATTTTAAAATCTCTTAATTACAACTTCTGGAAGAATGGTACGAAGTATTCGTTTTTTAAACTTAAGATTAAGACGTCGAACATGTAAACATTAAAGTAAAAGGTTTGTTAACAAATAAATATGGGAGTCTATACAATACCAACAACAGGGTTTTAAGGAATAGATGAAGCCAAGCTCTAACGAAACGATTAAAATCATACCCGAATGCTTCAAAACGCAATCGATAAGTTTCTAACTGGTGCTGTAGTTGCGTTGGTTGACTTTGTCCAAGGCGATTAACGTCAAGTATCACAACAAGGTTATCTAATTTGTAAAACGACGAAAATGCCAATGCTTCCCAAACACTCCCTTCGGCGGACTCTCCATCACCGACCACACAGTACACTCTATAGCTGGCTTTGTCAATATATTTCCCGACGTACGCCATCCCAGCAGCATTGCTGACACCTTGGCCAAGAGAACCAGTAGAAACATCAACAAAGGGCAAGCGCTAAAGCAGTGTTAGGTTTAAGAGTTCTTACCGGAGTAGGATGGCCTTCCAAATCTGAATCTATTTTGCGTAAATTAAGTAATTCTGACTCAGGGAACAATCCGACCTGAGCCCATGCTGCATAGAGTATTGGTGCGGCATGACCCTGTTGTAAGCTCAGCAAGAGAAATCACTCACTTTTGATAATACGAATCTATCATTTGAAGGATCTTTAGGTGAATCTGGCTTGTAGTGCATTTCCTTCAGGAAAAGTACAGACATTATCTCGGCTAAAGAGGCACATGAGGTAGGATGCCTAAAACCAATTATTAGGACGATCGTTAGCTACCCAGATCCTGCAGCTTCAGTTGCTTTTACCGAGTTTATTCGAAGGAGGGTAGCCACATCTTTGAGAGCTTGTATTTCACACATCACCAAACCTGCGACAAATTTTTCGCAAAACTGAAGTCAACAAAAAGTGCGCGCCCAATCAAATATATTAACATTCAATATCCAGAGGCTAAATCTTTTTGAAATAGATGCAGCTATTTGTTTGTCCCCTGGAACTCTGTTATATCCTTTCTAGTATTTAAAGTTTAGAGACAGTATTTTGTTATACTAAAAATAATTTGTCGTACATCATAATCCTATATCATAAATCTTGATCAGTCTGACATATATTTCGTAAATATTTAGGCTCGATCGCAGACTTTTCAATTGTAGTTCGAGGGGTCTCTAAACCAAAGGACGAAATTTTTTGCCAAACTCCCTTAATCAATACTTAACTTGTTTTAGATATGTTAGGACTAACCAGTACACCAAAGAGTAATACAAGCTCAAAGGTATAATTAATTAAAACCCGTGTTCTTAGTAACCCGATGTTCACCTGATGCGCTTAAACTTGCCTCGAAACGGAATGCAACACATCTATCTCTTCTTAAAAAGGGAGTGAGAACTGTGGTCATGAAGCTTGATCTCAAGAGAAACTGGGTGAAAACTTGGGTCCTTCTTCTCTAGTTGAGAAATGTTCTCAAACTTCTATTTAACGACTTCTGATAAACTAAATACGAATATGGGAAGTCGAAAATTTCATCCTAACCTCACGGTTTCAAACAACTCAAAAGATATTTCAACTTTTTCACAATATTTCAAAACGATAAACTGGGCACTGAATCCGAATTTCGTCTTTGGAACACTTACATCCCTCGGGGCTCACTGAGTTACCCATCCTACCATTAGTTATTCCAATGTATTTTGAAGCATTAGGAAATTCCATACGACCCCACTGTGGTAAATAGTATTTACTCTTCACCCAGAGTGATGGCTTAGATAAGCTACCGTTTCTCTGGAGTGCTTGATAAGCAACCGAAATGTAAGAATGTTCAGGCATGGCAATTCTTTAGTTCATAAAACCTTTTTTATCGGGACTACAAAAGCCCACTTAGATCATGGCAGGATTCGGGTATGTTCGATGCATCGAAAAGAATGCGGTCAATGCTGGCTGATTAGTGTGAGGAACAAACAACATGTCATAACCAATCACGATTTGCTAAGAGTATGTAACGGGAAGTAATAAACGAATAAATTTTCAGTGAAACTAACAAAAACAGAAACAGTGCATCAACTTCATAGAACCATTTATTTTGAGGATATATTCATTGCACGTGTTACATTTTAAATATAATCACAATGATAAAACGCTCAGAGAAAAGTGTGATTCTTAGTACGCTGCTTCTGTTTTTAAAATATTATAGATTCCCATTGTGTAGATTTGAATAACACATGTAGGCAAACAATATTGTTTTCAGTCTGATCCATCATGCTTTGCTCTAACATACAGGAATTTTAATTTAAAAATCTTAACTACGGAACAATGGACAAAAACTTCTGTTATCGTACTTGATCATGCTTACTACTATCAGCACACCTGTTTTCCTACTATCCACTTGTACTGTTACCTATTATATGTAGTTAGGCACTCTATTTAATTGTGATCATTGCCTCATACTAGACTGCATGATGGTTCAGAAATTTCACATATGCATCCATGCATATTAGAATTAGGCCTCATGAGGGTCCAATTGAAAACGGTATTGTTCGCTTTTACTTACTTCCGTTTTTATCTTCTTAAATCATCGTGGAAAATAAGGAATTGGAGAATTCAGAACATGTCGAAATAAACATCTGAAAACACGAGTTATATATGTGCATATATAACACGTGACAAACAGAAAAGTTATAGAATGGCTTTCCTTGAGTTTTCTTGTGAAAAAATATTTTGAACAAATTTCATCTAACAGCAGATTCGAAAAGTTACATGCTAACGTTATGACAGTTATTAATGTGGCACTGAAATTTGGAAAACTACCAAAACCAACCCTCAAAAGATACAGATAATTACAAAAGGCACTTGCACAAGACATCGAGGATTCATTTGCCAGATACAATCCGTAAAAACCTATTGTGGGAAATAAAAAACAGCCTCTAGATGGGTTGGGAATTGATGATATAATTAGTGGAAGTTACCAGTGGGTGCAACAAAGCAAACTGCAACTTAGAACCATAATATCAAAAGGCGAAGAAACAGAAAGCAGGACAAACTGCACCAGATCTTGAGAACAGACTTCATGAGAGGGGGCAGCAGTTGGGTACAAATGGAAACGAGAGCTAACGACAGCGTTGAGAGAATAATCCTGGTTGCCGGCCTATGCTTCACGAGGGGTAACAGGAGTTTCCAAGGAAATAACATCGATAATGAAAAATGTAATTCTTGGTTTAACAAGGAAAGACGTAAAATACAATCAAGTAGTGAAGAAACACGATGAAAGAGGTTAAAAAGAATAAAGTCGTTAGATTTCTTACACGCAGCAGTAGTTCTAATATACTAGGAAGCTCTCAATGCTTCCCGGCCATGTCTTTTTAGTCTTGTTATCAGGGAAATTTCACCGTGTGTTTCAGTTACTTGCGTCATAGCAGTATGCCGCCGTATGACAGATCAGGTTTGCGCTAACCATAGGCCTGAACGGAATGAGTTAAAATGTGGTGGCGTAAGAGTTTTAATTTCCAACAACTTAGAATCAATGTCACGATGCGGTAAATATAAAATGGACGTACTTATTAGTGTCCAGCGAATAGTATTCGAGACACTTGACTGCACTATCTCTGGTCATCTGGTAGTTGTTGATGAATTCGTATTTTCCGTGGCAGTGTTTCTGGATACCAGCAGCTATCAGGTTACCAGGCCGGAGATCAGATATTTGTAATATGGAGAATAATGAGAAAATAGTCATACATATAAGAACCGACTAATTTTAGAAATATGTAATTGAGTAAAGTAATTAATTGGCAGCGAGGATTGTGAGAGAAAACTGAAGTGTGTGCAAGGAAGAGGAAATGAAAAAAAATTTTGGACAGATTATTTCAGTGATCGGAAAAACGACAATGATAACAAGTGGAAAGCTTTGAGACATACGTCAGACACAGCTGGTCAAGCAAAGAGATGATAATCCGAAAGAGAATACGTGTTTATCAAGTCTCATCCTAATGCTATACCACAAATGGGTTTTGGTCATTTCTATTGGAAGAGTATTCCAAGGAGAGACAAATATTAATAGGGAAAAGTGTAAATATATTTCTACAGTGGCCGTCCCAATTGTTTCCAATAGAAACACTCCTGTACGCTTTTCCTAGTCCCGGGTCCCAACCAATTCAAAAGGACAAAATTCTAGGAGAAAACGTCTCTGTATTATTAGAAAATGGAAATACAAAGCCTTACGGAAATTGTGTTTCTTCCAGGGTTAAGTTACTCC